GCGTTGATATATTCTAAAAACATTCTAATATTATTTGAGAAAAAAATCAGTTTCTTATCAAACATACTAATCTGAACATTTAAAAAAAACAAAATATTAAAATCTATCATTGATTTTTTCTTAAACTATATTTAGTATTCTCAGAAAACGTTAAATTTAATTTTTGTGGTCTTAATCTTAATTGAGTTTTATCCAAATAAATTTGGAAATAAATTCAGTCAAATAAAAAATGACCTTTTAAAGCCCAGTTAATATTCTGAGACTAATTTTGCCCGTATATTTCAGCAGTATTACACTGGTGTATTAGTATTCGTCTTTTTCCTGTTTACTTCTGAGCGTGACGTCCCAATTAGTTGCCACCAGACCAAAAGAACTAACATTTGGCTTACCAATAATAAGATTAAGAATTTGTTGAAAAGTTCACAGCCCAACCCACTTACCAAAACCTCACAAAACATGAGTATTTCTTCTTGTTCAGATCGATAAGTTTTCACACTCCAATGTATATGAATACATTTTACTATTATTATTTTATTATTATTTCTTATTTTTTATTTTATTTCTTTTATGGCTTCCTATTGTATACACATTACCTTCCATTTCCCAACCAGAGATCTAAGGCCACAAATGTCTTAATTAATTAAAAAAAAAAAACAAAAAAAAAACTAAGATCACACATTTTTGCGTAGATAAAGCTCTTCATAAAATGTGCGCTGTACTTTTGAGTACAACTTTTTTGGATTTTTTTAACACATGGGTTACCAGGAACCTTTTCCAATCGACCCGAGAGATCCAACTCCAACTGTAATTGATGTCCACATGAGCGACATTTTTAGATTTCCACTTCAACAACCTTGTATTTTGATAGTTTTTTGAAGATCCTCAAAGATACATTACAATCTGCAGAGATGGTCATGCCAATAAAAAAGCACATTCTATTTCTGTGGTCTTTGATCACGATGTCTGGGCGATTAGCTTTGATTGTTCTGCCTGTGTGTATTGCAAAGTCACATAAAATTGTTACAGGTCCTATCTCTGTAACCGGGTCTAGGTGTTGCTCGTACCAATTTCTTGCAGTTTCCTTCACATAAAAGTTGCATATATATCCCGTGTACATATAGTCCGACTCTATCATGCTGAGTTCACTGAGTGCTCTCATTTAAGACAACGAAAACTAAATTTTAACTTTTTTTTCATTATCTGGATGTTTTAAAGCCGAAACAACGAAACTGTTACCGAAAACCATTCAATCATTACCAGCAAGCGTCCTGGGTATGACGATAAACTACATCCGCGTCCTGGGTATGACGATAAACTACGTCCGACAGCAAGGCTTCTGATCAGGAGGTTTTGAGGAGCGTGGAACCACCTCTTAATTGCTGGTGTTCCCAGGTTCACCCTGATACGGGGTGGTAGAACCTGTTATGGTCCCAGCTATGGGCAAATAGTTAACCCCGAAACTGAGGTAAAAAGCATTATAAAAGTGTAAAAATAGGTTTTAAAATCAGAAATACTTTGTAAAAATTGTTACCAGAAATAAATTTTTGAAGAAAAAAGCTATTACCGGCAATATATTTTTTTAAAAATATTACCAGCAATACGTTTTTGAAAAAAAAAAAATTACCAGCAACACATGTGATTGTACTCAAAAATATGAGTAATTGAAAAATGGTTCAAATATATATGTATACATACACACCTTTTTTTTTTACCAAACTAACACTATGAATCTATTTCAACTATTTCAAAAATGTTGTTGGCATTAAATGATCCACTGAGGTTGATATGCCATAAAACAAAACAACCAATAAACTAATTACCAGCAAAATTATATTATTTTATATTTCTTCCCAAATTGAGAATAGAGACTGAAAGAGACCCAACTCATTTATTCAGATCTCGCCATATAAATAGATATCTATAATATGTGTAGATATGATCACTTAAAAGTAATATGAAATGTTAGCATGGCTGTGCACGCAAACATTGGTTCAACATAATAACTGTATAGTCTTAATTTTTAATAGAGATTAGGTTCTCCCAACACATTATTATTATTATTATTATTATTAGAAGAAGAAGAAGAAGAAGAAGAAGAAGAAGATACTGGTATGCTCTACACCAGATATTATCGCTTTCGAGAACGAGAGTGGACCATTTTCAAATGATACAGCAGTAGCGGGTGGAGGGTTTCTTAGACTGAAGTCAAAAGCCAGACTGGTAGGTTCCCCTGATAGAAACAACGGCCACGTGTCCGTGACCAAGGCGAGCCTTCTAGTTGGAGAATATGAGCTGTGGTTTGAGGGATGGTCTTCGCCAGGTTTACTTGCCCAAGACACACTAGATATGTGGAGGGAACTAGTCAGGTGCTCAAGGGATGGAGGAGGAGGATCGGCATTGACGATATCGAACGACTAGGTTTCTCCTACTTGAAATACATTTATATCAACTGCAAAAGGACACTTCCAATTTATTTATTAACCCATGAATCTATGCATAAATTTACACATACTTCAGTTATAAATTAAGAAACAATAAAATATAACCGATAATAAACAGTATAAAAGGGAATGGCTCAAATTTGTTTACGTAGTCTGTCTGAAAAATATCCAGCCATTTTGAATATGTCGAGAGCGTGTTGCTTGTTTGTAATGTAATTTGACAACCAATCATAGGGGTTATACAACGCATGCGTAAACAGAGGTTCAGCTCAGTTAGTCAGCCAAAATTGACACCCCATTGAGTGAGCTTGTGTACTGTGTGATCGTTTTATTATCCTATGGTACGATTTCTGACTTTGCTCAAAGTTACAATCATCCTTTCAACAACATGGGCAAGATTAAGGAGAGTGATACAAGGCAGATTCTGAGAATCCTTAAAAGACAATTCCCATGGAGAGTAGTCTGAAGGTAACACTACTTCAAGTAGGCTATTCTTTCATTAAGCGTTTAGTACCTGGATATGCTTTTATCATTTCACCCCAAGCAAGGCAATAAAGTCACTAAGATGCAAAAGGCTACTGAATGTGAAAGAATGTAAGAAATTAAAAATATTATTAAAGTCAGAAAACAATAAAAGAACAAGAATTAAGAGGGCAGAAAACAACAATTCAGATTGCATTTAAGTTTTTGAAGATCAAAGTTGACTGGATAGCAAGCCGGAAGGGAGTTCCACAAGCGAGAAGTGCGATAGAAGAAACTGTTAGCATAGAACTTACGGTTGCATCTAGCCCTTTCAATTGTGATGATGAGACCTTGTTGCCAATCTAGTACTTGCGCTTAAATTCATAGGGTCTAGGTATAGAGTCTTTGCATAGTTTATCTACAATTTTCAACCGGATGTTAAAAAAAAACGAACCAGGAAGACATTGTCGGTTGAAATTAAGAGACCTTGTTTAAATTTAATTGCCTACACACACACACACACACACACACACACATATATATATATATATATATATATATATATATATATATATATATATATATATAATAAAGGCTTAAACACTAATATTAACCATGGAATATTAGTGTTTTTTTTTATTATATCCTTACTCTGTCCTAGACATTGAGTTCTACCTGGATCCTTCCTCTTGAAAATTTTTTTTCTGAAAATATACATGTATGGGAATTTTTAGATATATTTTTCATATGTATGTATATTTTCCACTAATATTATCTATATATATATATATATATATATATATATATATATATATATATATATATATATATATATATATATATGCACATGATAGTACTTTTATATGTCCATTCCACAAAGCAGACTAACCACAGATTCACGATTGGATTTAAATCAGGAGAGTTTTCTATGGTACTTCAATTTGCTTAATGTAAAGCTTGCCAGTGTGTTCGTGGGTGTTACAATTTTCGTAATTTTTAACGTCCGTCGCAGATAATGGCTGTAGGACAACTAATCGACAGTCAAAACAATAGTGTTTGGGCGTGATGAAAATCTGATGCAATCACGGATGACGCAATATTTTTCAAGGCCAAACAAACTTCATCATACACATCGAAAATAGATTCATATTACTGCACGCCACTGCAAATGACCTAATCTGAGGAAAAAAATAGAAATCGATTACACCCTATCAATCCAGCGGGTCTAAAACTGACCATATAATGAAAGAACGGAAAGTAAAGCTGTTGTTTCAATAAATTTGCTGAGTTATACACAAGAGTGTAGATAGGTATGTTCAATTTTTTCATAGTAAATGATAAATCTAATATGTTATATGTATAGTTGTATTATATTTTTAATAGTTTTATTAATTTATTTATAGTTTGGGTGCATCAGCTTAAAGTAGAATAGTTTAATAATGTATTCATTATTTTGTATTTTGTCCATATCATCAGACAACGTATTAAAATTTGTATAAAAAATATTTAAAACGTGTATAAAATATAATTAAAATCCTTATAAAGCATTTCTCATACTGTCAATAACTCTAAGTTATTCTATATAAGATGTCATTTATCCGATGGGCGTATATTTGAACTTGAAATGTAACGTTCAAAAATACCAGGACGTGGCAACAACATTTTACAACGATGCTAACAACATTCAGTTCTTGACAATAACGGAGACCGTAAAAATTAATGGAAAAAGAAATAAAATTAAATTAAAACATGAACTTTGCATAGTTTATCTACAATTTTCAACCGGATGTTAAAAAAAAAAACGAACCAGGAAGACATTGTCGGTTGAAATTAAGAGACCTTGTTTAAATTTAATTGCCTACATATATATATGTGTGTGTGTGAATAAAACAAAAGGAAGAGGTATGGCTGGATACTTTCCGAACAAACTTCATAAGTTGTTTTCTTTCTTTATTTTTTAAGAATGTCTTAAGTGGAGCGATTCTTTCATAACGGATTATTAAATGTACCTTTATAGTAATCACATCTGCAGCCGATTACGGTCACTTCCATTTATAACTAACCTATAAAAATGTGTATTAACATTATCCTGATGTTATGTTCACTGATGGTAAACACATGTTTACAGATTTTGTATTGTCCTATGTTCTAAGTGAAGAGGTAAAAGAAAGAAAAAGTTAAGAGGGTTCCAAAAACTGCCAGTTACAAAATACTGCAGAAGAAGGGCTAAGAATATATCGGCCGAAATGTTATGTTCAAAATAACGTACCATTTTATTTCTCTACATCTTTTGCTCGTCTACTATTCACTTTGACTTTCTTCTATTCTTTTTTTCTTCCCTCTTTCTTTTTTCTTTATTTCTTTCCATTTTATTTTATTCCACTCATTACTCTGCCTATCTAATTCCTTTTCTTTTAGTCTTAGAGCTGACACTATCATTCTCACTTTTCGTCCTCTCTCTTTCTCTCTCCTTCTCTATTTCTCTCTGCCACAAGCTATCTGTCTATCACTTTCTCATTGTGCACAACCCTTTAATTCCCCATCTTTCTTTCTTTCTTTCTTTCTTTCTTTCTTTCTTTCTTTCTTTCTTTCTTTCTTTCTTTGCATTTTATTTGATTCTACGTTTTACTCTCTCCCTATCTACTTTCTTTCTGTTTCTATTTCAGAGCAGACTATCACTCTCTGTTTACTATCTATCTATCTATCTATCTATCTATCTATCTATCTATCTCAATCTACCTGTCTTTTTCTTTCTTCTTTTGCAATATCCTTTAATTTCCCGTCTTCCATTCTTTCTTTTTTCTTACTTTATCTATTTTTCTTTCTTTCTTTCTTTCTTTCTTTTCTTTCTTTCTTTCTTTCTTTTTCTTTCTTTCTTTCTTTCTTTTTCTTTCTTTCTTTCTTTCTTTCTTTCTTTTTCTTTCTTTCTTTCTTTCTTTCTTTCTTTCTTTCTTTCTTTCTTTCTTTCTTTCCATTTTATCTGATTCTACCTTTTACTCTCTCCCTATCTACTTTTTTCTGTTTCTATCTCAGAGCAGACTATTACTCTCTCTTTTCGTCTACTATTTTCTCTCCCTATCATCTTTTCAATAATCCTATCTTTCTCTCTATATCGATTTTATAATTCTTTCTATTACTCTCTTTCTATCTACCTTTTTCTATCTCACGGCTTACTATCACTCCATCTTTTTGTTTTCTATTTCTTTCTTTTCTTTTCTCTCCTTTTGAGCCGTTCTTTAACTCACTTTCTCTCTCTCTCACGCGCACACGCACACACACAAATATACACACTATCTCTCTTTCTCTTTTGACTTGCTTCCTCTCTTTCTCGCTCTCCTCTCTACTTTTAACTACTCTATCTATTACCAGCTTTCATCAGTGGCTGCAACCGTCGGATATTCTAAGAAATCGGCGAAGTAGCTGAGTGCTTCTAGTATCACCCTATGATGGCGATGGGTACCTTTCGATGGTGTTAGACGCCAGTGATCAAATCCTGCAATCGGCCGACTTTGATACGAGTTCAGTGTGAAATTCCAAACCTGGGTTCAAGGGAGCAAATGTTTACAAAGTCAGAGAGCAACTGCCACGCCTTAGGAATTCGGGATAATTTTTTTTCTCTGCCCGAAGATGGACTTGAGCATGTAAAATCACAACTTGGTACGATTTCAAATGTCGACACTATCAAATGTAATCTTATCGGCCAATTCACCTAATACCGCTGTTAGACAGAGAAATTATTCATTAAATAGTTTCACAATTCGGCTGTAAAAATTAGGTTCTGTTTACTTGCTTAATCAGTTATGTGGGTGGCTTTGAATTCATTTTCCTGTGTGCATGTACTTTGTAGGTATAATGTTCCCGGAGAAACGCAAGTTTTTATCGCAGAATAATATGTCGCCCGTCATATAGTAATCGATAGCAGGTTCCTTTGGCAAATCATTACGACTGTAAAGAATTTGATCATCACTACATCGCGATCACTTGTTTCACTTCCTTGACTTCCATTCTTCTTTACTCAATTTGTTTTAATTCCCTAATTTTAGTGCCTTTGTTTTGACACTGAAACAGTTGCTCGTGGCTAAATACAGTATACGACATGAATGGTTCCCTTCTTGTCAAAAGTTGGATTTTATGTATTGTAAAAATCTCCGTAACTAGAGTAGTTTTTCATTTCTAGTAAAAATATTAACGGGTCGAGGGGTAGCAAGGTAACTTTTATTAAAGTCAATGTTTCTTGTATAATATAGTTAAATGCGTCTTCTACGGAGACACCGAAAGTGTTTAACACTGAGAAATACACAAATTGGTACTAAAATTTAATGAACGCGTGTGTTGTTTCTTCTTCCTGTTTCTTATTCTTGTTTCTTTTTTTCTTCTTCTTCTTCTTCCTGTTTCTTCTACTTTTTCTTCATGTTTATTCTTCTTCTTGTTTCTTCTTCTTCTTGTTGTTTCTTTTTGTTGTTATATGTTTCTTCTTCTTGTTTCTTCTTCTTGTTTCTTCTTTTTTCTTCTTCTTGTTGTTTCTTGTTGTTGTTGTTGTTTCTTCTTCTTCTCCTTCATGTTTCTTTTTCTTGTTTCTTTTTGTTGTTTCATGTTTCTTCTTCTTGTTTCTTCTTCTTCTTAATTTCTTGTTCATGTTTCTTTTTTTCCTTCATGTTTCTTGTTGTTGTTGTTTCTTCTTCTTGTTTCTTCTTCTTCTTTTCTTTCATGTTTCTTCTTCTTCTTGTTTCTTCTTCTTCTTTTCCTTCATGTTTATTCTTCTTCTTGTTTCTTCTTCTTCTTTTCCTTCATGTTTCTTCTTCTTCTTGTTTCTTCTTCTTCTTTTCCTTCATGTTTCTTCTTCTTCTTGTTTCTTCTTCTTTTCCTTCATGTTTCTTCTTCTTCTTGTTTCTTCTTCTTTTCCTTCATGTTTCTTCTTCTTCTTGTTTCTTCTTCTTTTCCTTCATGTTTCTTCTTCTTCTTGTTTCTTCTTCTTTTCCTTTTTTCTTTTCTTCTTCTTGTTTCTTCTTCTTCTTTTCCTTCATGTTTCTTCTTCTTCTTGTTTCTTCTTCTTTCTTCTTGTTTCTTCTTCTTCTTGTTTCTTCTTCTTTTCTTCTTGTTTCTTCTTCTTCTTGTTTCTTCTTTCTTCTTGTTGTTTCTTCTTCTTGTTTCTTCTTCTTCTTGTTTCTTCTTCTTCTTGTTTCTTCTTCTTCTTGTTTCTTCTTGTTTCTTCTTCTTGTTTCTTCTTCTTCTTGCTTCCTTCTTGTTTCTTCTTCTTCTTGTTTCTTCTTCTTTTCCTTCTTGTTTCTTCTTCTTCTTGTTTCTTCTTTTCCTTCATGTTTCTTCTTCTTCTTGTTTCTTCTTCTTCTTTTCCTTCATGTTGTTTCTTCTTCTTGTTTCTTCTTCTTCTTTCTTCTTGTTTCTTCTTGTTGTTTCTTCTTCTACTTCTTGTTTCTTCTTTTTGTTGTTTCTTCTGCTTCTTTTCCTTCATGTTTCTTCTTTTCTTGTTTTTCTTCTTCTTCTTTTCCTTCATGTTTCTTCTTCTTCTTGTTTCTTCTTCTTCTTTTCCTTCATGTTTCTTCTTCTTCTTGTTTCTTCTTCTTTTCCTTCATGTTTCTTCTTCTTCTTGTTTCTTCTTCTTGTTTCTTTTTATTCTTGTTTCTTCTTTTTTTCTTCTTAAACAGTGAAGTGTCTATAGTTAGTCAGCATGCCGGAGCCAACACTTTACAAACTCGTTTTGAATTCAGAGTTTTCTTTCTCCTAGCCTGGTAGCCACTTTAAAGCAAAAGAGCCCCGTTTACTATTTAAACAAGAGCGTTGCATAGAAAAGTGAACTCGTAATTCGAACCCGGTTCATCGATTTCATTTTTCCAAGTCACTAACCGTTACCTTACTCGAACATACGGAAATATTCACAGCTCTACCGAAAAAGGTTATGGCACGATATTTTATGCGTATTTGTTGATCTCGACGCACATTTCCTCGTTTCTAATTCTCATAACTAAAACCATCTTTAATTTCCCAGTGATAATCTTGTTCTAAAATTACTTTTTTTTCCTGTATCGGCAAAGAAAAGTAAGTGAAGTGTTTAAAAGACGGATATTCATAAGCCGTAGAAAATGAATCAATCATTAAGTCAACTGATTTTAGAGACGTCAAAATAAAACAAGTACAGAAATTTCTTACTTTCATTATTGACATTATTCGGACTGTTATCCTCACCTTCATTGCCATATTCACAATGTTTCGGCCTCTATATCTCTGGGTTGAGGTATTATGTTTACTCCTATTATTGACATTATTCGGGCTGTTATTCTCATCCTCATTGCTATATTCACAATGCTTCGGCCTCTATATTTCTGAGATGAGGTATTATGATTGCTTCTATAATTTACATTATACGGACTGTTATCCACATCTTCATTACCATATTCACAACGTTTAGCGTACATATCTCTCAGAAACAAAACCAAAAGGTAAAAAATATTTTTAATTAACCAGCAACTTGGCTGAGACCAGTGAATAATGTTGCCTCTGGGTTGTACACTTAAAATACACGCAGAGACCCCTACCCACGCGCGACCTGTTCCTACAAGCCGAATATTATGCGACTGTTGACCAGAGCAGCCTCTCTAAGCGCTGCTAAAGAATTCGGACTCCTTACCACCAGTCGGGTGCAGCAACCAGCAAACCCGGTACCTTCATAATGGAAAATCGCAGCCACTGGTTAGTCTGATCAGCAAAACGTTAAGACAATTAAATCCTTCTGGTCATGGAAGAACAGAGAAGAAGAAAGAACCTCTGAACCATATCCTGATCAGGGAACAAGGGATGAACCTTCTACTCCTGTTCAATAGACATGGAAAGAGTGCGAGTCGGACGATAGGTGAGCTTAGTATTTATCAATCCACCCATGAGGATAGAATGTGGCACAAGGCCGGTTTAATGTGGGTATCCCCGAGCCCGTAGGCTCGGCCAAAAATATAGCCTTTTTGAACCCGACTAGACGGATTCAGGCCCTGTCTACCTCCCGGACGAAACCTTGCCCTTCGGCAAAGCTTCGTCCGGGTTCCTCTCTGCTAATACAGAGAGTTCGACAGACGCCGACTCGGAAGCTCACAAAGGCAGCGTACTACACTTTGATCATAGCCTCCGGGCCGAGCAGCTTAGGTGAGCTTATCGACTTCTATTAATCTTTTTTTTAAAAAAATACGACAAAATTCATATTAAGTTCTGATGTCTACTAACAAGTGAAAAAAAAAACAGGACGGTAAATCATAGTTGATTGTTGTTGCGTTAATCTTTCAGCAATGACAATGCGATAGTAGGTACACACATTCTAAGTTAAGCAATTTTTGTTTTGGTGGGGGTGGGGCCGAAGTAAAGAGTTTGATAATTATTAGCAGTCGAAAGAACGATAAGCAAGGTAAAAGGAAGTAAAACCATCAGAAAGAAAAACAACAAAAAATAAAATTGAATTAAAAAAAAATAATACACACATTTAAACATTTAAAACAATAAAAGGGTATAAGGCACTGGAACTTACTTATTTACTTAATTTCTTACTTACTTACTTAAGGGACTCTACAAGTGTTTCATTCCAATCTTTAAATTTGACTTTTTTTCCTTTTTTTACCGACAGGGCAAGCGGACATATTTTCAATGGTGGTTTGATGAAAATTAAAGCGACTCTGAAGTGGATCTCGGGTTTCCATGGCCAAAATCTCTTGTTTCAGATGGGTGGTGGAGGAGATAATGGGTGGGATAGATAATCCGGAGCCCCTCACTTGCTAAAGGTAGTGATGGTGCCAGGATTAAGTATCTTTTACCCGGCAGGGGTAATGGGTGAAGGTGCTTTTGATTGGAAATCTATCGTTACTATTTCTTTTCTTTTCTTTTTAGTCTCTATCAAGGAATTTTAGAGTCATACGCCAGTCACCAAGAATAAAAAGTTATCCACAAACGAATGCCAATCTTCAAATAATATATATATATATATATATATATATATATATATATATATATATATACCAGGTGTAACAGCAAAATTGTCTAAATCGTGTAACACCAAAATTGTCCATTTGTTAGATTAAGCTTTGAACTGTTGTATTTTAGAAATGATTAAAGATATCTTACTGGAATTCTCCAGAGTTTTTATAATACTATTGGACTCTATATTGAGCAATAAGAATGTATAATTACTCTCCAAGCTTAAGAGAAGAATCGTGATGAAATCGATTACAAACGAAAATAGCATGTTCAACATTAATTAATCATGGCTAAGGATCCGAAGGTCATGAAGGATTGAAATAAAGTTCTAATATATATGTATATATTATTTCAGCATCATTTTCAAAATTATTCACGATGATCTTCGCCCTCTCTAACCTTCACGGTTCTTTACATGCTTCATGTACGATTTCATTTTCAAGTCCTATTTTTATTGCTCTTTAGACTGTTAACAGTGAAACTCCTCTCTCACGTGCCAAACATCTTATAGATTGAGTTGGATCTTTTTCATCTCTTTAGGTCTAAGTTGAAATTAGGGTCGTTCATCCTGTTATAATCTCCTAATCCGGTTTTCCTCTTTAACTTTCCCTCTTTTTTAAACTTCTTCACCGTTCTCTTGGAGGTTCTTGAATGTATTTTGAAGATGGAAGTATGAATGTTGGTACCGTTACTGAAGGCCTGAATGATCTTTTTCTTCTACACTTGTTCAGTTGGGAAAACATAGTCGGACTGGCACAAAACATATTTCAACCCGTTCTCTTTCTAATTGAATGTCTCAAAGGGTTTTTCAGTGATTCTTACGACAAATGGTGTCAAGATCTTATCGGAAAACGAGGAAAAAAGAAACTTAATTAGTTTAGTGTTTTTTTAGATATTAAACATTTGACAATTATGCTGTTACACGATTTTGACAATTTTGCTGTTACACACGGTATATATATATATATATATATATATATATATATATATATATATATATATATATATATAATTTAATGAAACAAATTAAAATCCAGGTGAAATCGTTCTGGTTTGAAACAGTTTGAAATAGAAAAACAGTGAAATTTTCACGGGCTAAAACTGGTGTTGGATAATTTCGTCACGGATAAAAAAGGAGTCTTGAGACAATAGAAGTGTTTTTATACAGAAAAATACCATAGGCAGGACATGTGACAAAGAAGAAACCTTTAAGGAAAATAGAAACAATACGAATACTTTCAATTAGAAATAGAAAGAAATTTTCGTGACGCATAATGAGGAGAGGCAATTTGGAGAATTTTACTCTCACATGATATTTTGAAGACAAGAGGGGCAGAAGAAAACATTTAGCAACGTAACGTTTGGTTTGTTTCATTTTACGGCATATCAGCCTCAATGGGTTATTTAATACCGACAATAATTTTATATATATTGCTGGTAATATTTTTTCTAAAAATGTATTGCTGGTAATATTTTTTTTTAAATATGTATTACTGGTAATATTTTTTTCAAAAATGTATTACAGCTAATATTTTTTTCAATAATGTATTGCTAGTAATTTAAAAAAAATGTATTGCTGATAGTATTTGTTTCAAAAATGTATTACTGGTAATATTCTTTTCCAAAAATATATTTCTGGTAATATTTTTCTTCTTAAAAAATGTATTGCTGGTAATAATTTATTGCTGGTAATAATTTATTACTGGCCATTGGATTTTAATGAATTATTCTGGATTTATTCAGAAATGGATTAAATTATTTTAAACGTTTATTTTTTAGAAAATCGATGTAAAATAAAAACGTTTTTACGTCTGTTAGCACGCACTCATTTATTTTTATGAAATTTTGAGAAATTCCATTTTGTAGGGCTTAATGTTTATATTAATCAACAATACAAGAATGAGTCGTCGGAGTTTTTAAATCATCGTTAAATCATTTCTTTTCTAAAATAGAACCTACAGAACCTGTTCTCAAACAATTTTTTAAAAATAAGACATTTTTACTTAGAAAACTGTTAATTTTTTTTTAAAATAAAATGTATTATTGATACTATTGTCTTAAGAAAAAGAAATTCAAGGAATAATGAATTTTTACAAAAATCAAAAGATTTTAATTAGAATAATTTATAAATTTATTTGTAGCAGTCAAGCGATATTGTTAAATTGAAATTGTAATTACGAATCATAAATGAAAATACTCGTTAAAATTCAACGACTATTTTAAAAATTAATTTTAATATTTTATATGTGTGCGTGTGGGTGCGTAAACGTGTCCAATTTTATGAAAACGGATATCCATACACGACAATATCAGAAAATAAGTGACGCACAGAAAATAAATTTTAAATTTATTGGTAAATTTTCTAAAGAATTATCTAAGTAAGGCTATAAATCCAAAGTATCTAATAGTCAATAATATATTAGATTATCTAGAATGTTTTCTTAAATGTTAAAGATTACTTCGTCTTTAAAAATTATATAAAATGAGTAATATTAGTTCTACCCCACTTACTTAAATTTCCCAAATATCTGGCTGTCAATAAATCCCACAATAAATCAGAAAAACACACCCTCCGTTTTAAAAAAAATACTTTTCTATAATATTTTTAACTAAAAGTAAGTAATATTTGTTTCAATTCAAATTAATTAAACTTTAAATCTGCTAATATTTCTCAAATAATGGTTCAGAAAAGCATATTTTATTTTGAAAGATCTTTTAATAATGAGACTTATTTTGTGTTGACAGATCTGTCAATATGGACGGATTTATAGATAAAAAGAAAAAAATTCCCAATTAATTAAAATTCAGTTTGAAATACACCAAAGTATTTTCCTTATTGGGAATATTAATTTTAATCCTTTAGTAGCTTGCAATTAAATCTAAAGTTAAAGCTTCAAGAAAGATTTTTCGTTTTGAAAAATGCATTTTAAACTTAGCTAACACTTTTTTTTGTTTTTTTTTTTTTTTTTTTATCTTACCTGTACTAACAAATATAAATGATAAGTTAAAAAACATATTTCGGGTCGATTTCATTTTTTTCGAAACGATTAAAGCCGTTTTTCGGGATAGTTCCGGTCAAGAACGTTGGTTTGAAGCCGTGAAATAAACCTGAGATAGATCTGTATCCGTGTGTCACATTAGCAACTTTTTGTATTATTTACATTATTCGGACTGTTATCCATATCTTCATTGCCTATTCAAATCGTTTAGGCCGTTGTAGGCTCTGGCCTTCTTTAAATGATTGAAATTTCGAATCGAACCCTTTATTTCGTCCACCGGGGTAGATTGTTCTAGTTCCGCGTGCCATGCCTCTTCCGGATATCGCAGTTATTTCCCTTTAACTCAACTCTCCAAGATTTGGTTCACCACTTCTGTGGCCTGATATTGAACTCACAACTCTATTGGTCAACTCACTGGATCTAACCACTTATTCTAGGTCATAAAAATCTCCTGAGCCGACTAAGCATAGAAATGAATACACTATGAGAACCAGTAATAAGGAGTGATCGAGAAAAGCAATGAATAACAACAAAAATTGCAATATAAACTCTGGTAAAAAATATTCAATAATAATAATAACAACAGAAAAAATTGCAATATGAGCACTGTTAAAAATGATACTGAGAGATTAGGTTTATAAGTCCCAGAAATTCATGCCCAGATGTCCTCAAGGACACATAGTACAGTGGATAAAGGCGTTGGGTAGATCCAGTGACTAGACCAAATGAGTTGTGAATTCAATACCAGACCACAGCAGTAGTAAACCAAAACGTTTTGAGTTAAACGCAAATAAGTGAAACATCCGGAAGCCCATAGAACTCGAACAATCTACCCCGGTTCAAAATTCGAGCTTACAACGCATATGGCAATGAAGATGAGGATAAATAATGCAAGTAATCATCATACCTCAGAGATATAGAGGCCGAAACACCGTGAATATGGCAATGAGGATAACAATTTGATTAATGTAAATAATATAAGTAATCATAATACCTTATCTCAGAGATATAGAGAGTTAGCAACATTTTTGTGTATAAATGTTACTTCTGGTTCCTTTGTCGTTATCTCCCAGCTCCTCTTACTCTCCTCCTGAGAGCCCGCCACTTCCTTACTCTCCAATATTTCCTTTAATCTCTTTCTCTCCACTTCCCACGTTGCCTGTTTATTGTGTTTATTTTATACGCTCAATTCCTTAATCTAATCTTTTGGAAGGCGTTAAGGACTAAAAGAACGAGTTTGAAATAAAAATTATCCTTTTTTTTTCTATTCCCATAAACTTGTTCTGCTCAAGTGCCTGTTTCGAACCGAAAGCATCTGCGGAAATATCACACTTTAAATTATTTTCGTATCAATGGCTGCTTCCAAGTTGTGCACAACCATATAAACCGCGTTTATTTGTTTAAGCTACTTCTATTATTCTGCACCTATCAACTTTTACAGCCCACTGCCAGGAAATGCACACATTTGGTACTTCAACACATTCTGCACTTTTGTTCCTGCGTGTTGCAGACAGAAGTTCAGGGCGTGTATTTACTGGTAAGAGATCTAACGAAGCCAGATCGACGTAAACTTTCAATCTATCTATCTATCTATCTATCTATCTATCTATCTATCTATCTATCTATCTATCATACTTTCTCTCACTCTCTATGTATATATATATCTATCTATCTCCCCTCCTGTCTCCCACTCTCTGTCTCTATCTCCTATATCTCTCTCACTTTATTGATCTCCTCTCTCTATATATATATATATATCCCGTCCCCCTCTCCATTTCCCTTCCTCTATCTATCTCCAACTCTCTATGAATATATATCTATCTCCCTCCTCTCTCTCCTCTCTGTCTCTATCTCCTCTCATCTCTATCCCTCATTCTCTATCGATATCTCTCTCTCTCTCTCTCTCTCTCTCTATATATATATATATATATATATTCCCTCACTCTCTCTCTCTACCACCCTTATCTATCTATCTATATATATATATATATATATATATATATATATATATATATATATATACCCTCTTTCTTCTCTCCTCTCCTCTTTTTCACTCTCAATATATCTCCCCTCCTCTCTCACACTTTCTGTCTCTATCTCCTCTCATCTCTATCCCTCATTCTCTATCGATCTCTTCTCTCTATATATATATGTCCCCTCACTCTCTCCACCTCCCTTACTCTATCTATCTATCTAGCTAGCTATATCCCCTCTTCGTTCTCTCCCTCTCTATCTATCTCCTTTTCTCTCACTCTCTATCTCTCATTCTCATCACCATCCTCTCTCTTTATCTGTCTTCCCTTCTTCCCTCTCTCTCTTTCTATCTCCCTCCTCTCTCCTCTATCTCTTCTCTCTCTCTCTCTCTCTCTCTCTATATATATATATATATATATATATATATATAAAAAGTGAACATAGAAGTCCCAATATATGCAGGCGACAGGTCTGACGATTTCATGCTATAGCATGAAACAGACTGTCGCCTCTACGATTGTTGACTTCTATGTTCACTTTTATATTTACACACGCTCTATCTCTGATACTGAGCACTTTATCCCATAAATATAGCACACCTTAAGACTATATTTCTTTATATATATATATATATATATATATATGTGTGTGTGTGTGTGTGTGTGTGTGTCTATCTCCTCTCCGCCCTCTCTCTTTCTCTCTCTCACTATCGCTTAATCTTTGATATCAAATAATCTGGGCTGTATTTCCCTGTTTTATTTTTAATTCTTTTTTTTTTTTCTTATTTAAATTATTTACATGTGGACTATTTTCCTTACCTTTGTTGTTTTTATAATAGCGTTTAAGCCATTATGCCCCCCCACACACACACACATGCAGAGACCTTGTCAATCCGGGTAACCTACAGGAAATTTAGAACTGAACGCTTTAATTAATCTGCGGGAATAGACTGTTCCCGTTCCATTGCCTATGTCTAAGGATATCTCGTTTAGTTCTTATTTTAAAATTGCTCAGTTATTGTTTACCACGTTTCCATTGAATCATAATACCAGATAGAGGGATCGGTGCTCGCATCGATGTCAGCACAACCGACTGTTGCGGGTGCTCGTGGAATTTTGTTCCTAGCCCAGGTGTACGCGCTCTGGCTCCTCACATTAAACCGACCTTGTGTCACAACGCGATTTCGTCGAGTAAATACCCAAGGTTTTTTTAATCTCAGAATTCGTGGGAGAATTGAGCTCCAATTTCGCATTTATTCATATAGATTCCATAATATTGGTTATACTTAATTAGCTATTATGTTTCTCTAATTCTTCAAATGTTGAATGTATAATTAATTCTAATTTCTATTTTCTCATCTTTACACTATATTAATTTTATCTTATAAATTGTCCCCTGTTCTGTCACCCATGAAATAAAAATAATTGCTTGTATGGAAAATAAGGATCTACGTACATCAAATCGTTTTAAGTGGCAGCATAAGAATTATCGTCGAACTTTTAAAAGGTAAGCTTAAACATTAATTCAATACTTAAATGCAGTGATCATTTTTGAGTTCTTCTGTAGTTTATTGATGTCTATTGCATCTACTCCTCCCTAGCTATTGTGATGATGTCCAAACCAAGAGTCCTCCATTGGAGCTAGCTTAAATGTCGCCTGATAGGGCGGCTTTTAAGCTAGTTTATAATAAAACAATTTTGCAATTTTGGATACAAAATTAAAATAAGAGTTTCTTCCCTTGAACCATGAAAGCAACGATAATGGCTAGTATAATATATTAGTATATATTTTTAACCTCTCATGATCAGGCAAAGCTGATTCTGAGCTCAACGAAAATTGTTCACTGCGTTTAACTTTTCTAGGACTTTTGAATGAAGTATGAATCATTGAAATCGGACCAGTGGGAGCGGAGGAGTTGTTTGGACACACACACTCACATACACTGTACTTTATATATAAGATTTATACCAAGCACAAAAGTATCTCTTTTAAACTTTGTCCCTTGATATTTTTCAACTGATCCAACTGGAGACTACATTCATGGAACGATCTTATCATTTTTCTGAAACCAGAAAATTAGCCACTGTCCTACAGAAAGTTCTCACATTATTTTTGCCATTTGAATATATATATATATATATATATATATATATATATATATATATATATATTATTTGTTTAAAATTATAACATAAATATCTTATAAAATCACTACAAAAATAGCCATGTTGTTTCAACACCTTTGGTGTCTTATCAAGTGATGATGTTGAATGTAGATTGTACATTTAACATCATCAATTGATAAAACACCAAAGATGTTGAAAGAAAATGGCTATTTTTGTTACAACATATTTATGTTATAATTTTTAAATAAATAATTATATTCACTCTACTTTGTATTGATCACTCTTTTAACAATAGTAATTGTTGGTGATTAGAATTTATTCCGTATACACCAATCATACTCTTTGATATATATATATATATATATATATATATATATATATATATATATATATATATATATAATTATTATTCACTCTCTTTCTAGTTATTCATTATTTTTTAAACAAGGCGATAAAACCGCTAAGAGTCAAATGGCTACTGAGGAGAAAAGACAGTAATAGAGCATGTTCAAAAATATAGATGACGACTGACATTGCATTCAAATCTTTGAAGGTTGTAGTTGACAGGAAAGCAAAGTGCTGGAAGTGTGTTCCAAAGGAGAAAAGTGTGAGAGAAGAAACTATCAGTATAGAACTTACGGTTACATTTAATAGTTTCAACAATAAAGTTATTAGATCTCTCTGCCAATCTAACACTGCGCTTAAATTCATGAAGCTCACCAGAAAAATTACCATGAAAATGTTTATAGAAATGGCACGGGGAACCTAAAGTTACAGTAGTGGGAAATTGATTGAAGTCCAAGCAACGATGCTATTTAGATGTACTTTAGCTAGTCCATTTTCGAAGCGTTTTATGCAAGTCAAATCTTATGTTCCCTTCACGCTTATATCTTTCCTCTACAAATATTAAATAATCTCGAATATTCGTGCAGTTTCCCCTTTTGTTCAGAGAGTGCTTACATTACCCAATTACAAACATTTTTTCGATGCAATACAGATGTGGTTAGAGAGTTTAATTATTGTGGCGACCCTTATTGTAAGCAACTAGCTCGTTTGAAGTGCATTAGTTTCAAGAATAGGTCACAGTTCGTCATCACCAGTGCTTAATACTACTGTCTGTTGCGAAAGGTATCTTCCTATGACTCAATTACATTTACTCCTCATATACTTATAGGCCAATAACTTCACCTCCCCCAAAAGATGTACTTGGTAGTCCGAAGGTCTTGTTACCCCTACATAATATAATTTTCTATTTTAGATGGCTGACACGAGCTTGTATATTTTGGAAAAGATGGTTGTGGTGTGAAGAGCTTCAGACCATCCAGTATATTTGCTTTGAGCTAGTTTTATCATTTTTTTAATTTATTTAAATTTGTAAAAGGGACAACTTGACGATTAACGATTTGATTTAACGCCATCTTATTGTACATTTCTTTTCTTAACTTCTTTCGTCATTTTCTCCTCCATCTTTTAACCATTATTTGATTCTTTCTTCAAATAAACGTCTTACGCATCCAACTTTATTATCACCAATTTGTTTTTTTTTTTCTTACGCAAAGAAAATCAAACTGAAAAAGAAAGAAGACAGGAAGAAACATTAATTCAAACATTATCGATGAAATTTCTTCATGTCTGACTATGAACATGATTGGCTACACTTAAACAAAAAAGGGATAAAGATAAAAAAAAATAGAAATAAACTAAAGAAAAATGAAGGAACTTAGGAAGAAAAAAATGGAAAGAAAAGGAAAAAAATTAAGAAAAAATAAAATGAGATATTTTTTAAAAATTTCTTTTTCATATTTTTTTTTTTTTGGCTTTGCCTTGCTTTTTTCTACTGAATTCGAAACCACAAATTCTTTAGAATAGTGTTTTTCTAAAACATTAAACGCGAAATTTCATCTCAATCGATAGAATTATCAGTTTTCTTCTTCTACAAATCTGAATAAATAACACTTGTCAGAAAATTTCGTCATTACGAAATAGGCCCTGCAACGGGGAGCAATGGTTAATAAGAATAGTTTAACATCCTCACAGGATGCCTATACAAAATTCGACGTTAAATACCCCAAGAAGAGTAAACGTCTCCTAAAATTAAATAACTTAACCATCTTTATCAAATACTAATATTGACTGTGCTTTCTTTTTAAAGTCACGTGTTACATCAATAAAATTACTATCGTTATCTTTTGTTTTGTTTTTTCTTAATTCGTCACATTTTTTCTTTTCACAATTTGTACTATTTTTCTTTTGTCCTTTCTTATTTTATCTTTATTTTCTTTTGACCTTTTTTATTTTATTTTCCATTTTTCTCATTCTTTTTTCTTTTACTTTTCTTCTCTCTTGACTCACTTTTTCTTTTATACTAATTTTTCTTACTTTTCTTCTTTTTTGTTATTTTTTGCAAAATTTCATCGTTTTTTCTTCTTTCTTTTTGGTTTTCTTTATTTTATTACTTTTTTCTTTTCGTTTTTTAATTTTATTTTTTCTTCTTTTTTGTCTTTTTTAGTTTCTCTTGCTTTCCCGTTTCTTCTTTATACTTTCGTTTTTCTTTTTTTTAATTTTGATTTAATTTTTCCTCTTCTTTTCGCCTCTCTTTTCTCCCTTTCACTTTTTCATGTTTTCCTTCGTTGTTTTCTTCTTTTCATTTTTCTTCTACAACTTCAGTTATTCGTGTCACTACTAATTTAGATATTTTGGAATTCATTTATCTCAAAATTTTATCTAGAACTTCATTTTCTTTTCTTCTTTTAATACTATAACTTCTACTACAACGTTTTTTTTTTCTTAATTATTACTTTCTTTTCTTTCTTTTTTTTCATTTCGTCGTTCTCTTTTTCTTTCACTCTTTTCTGGCATTATTTTAACTATTTTCTTCCTTATTTTACCACCACTTCAACACTTGACTTTCATATTTGTTTCTATTTATTTATCTTTTCACACAATTTCATTCTCCATGGGAAGCCGACCCCCGACACTCCTTGCTAGTGTTGTCAAACTACGCCATTGTCGGTGTCGAATGGCCACGGCGAGGAAAAATTAACATCCGGCCGGAGCCACCGATTCTTGTGGCAGGGTTTTGCGAAGAACGACTAAGAATGGAGGCAGAATTCCACCGCCAAAATGCCAACCGCTGAACTCCATCCCCACCTTCTTTTGTCTGCACAAAACCTCGGCGAGGGTCAATGAATGAAGCTACCATTTCTCCCCTTGGATCGGATTCTTGTAATCACAGAAGAAACAGCCTCGCTTTCAGCCTCTACGACTGACATGCCGAAGCAAATGACGACTAACACAAACGCACAGCGACTACCAAGGCAAACATATCGACCGACGGTAACCAGATGTGAATAAATGAAACAAAAGAACAGATAGAGAAACAAAACCCAAAAAAGGCTAACATAAACATAGACGAATACATATAGTGATATATATCCGCAAAGATTCACTTATTAACGTGCACATACACATAACACACACACATACATATATATATATATATATATATATATATATATATATATATATATATATATATATATATATATATATATATATATATATATATATATATATATATATATATATATATATATATATGTATGGTACGGTGGAGTTGCACGGATTGGTGAATCTGAGAGCGAGTTCGAATTCCAGTCGAATCCATTGCATTCACTTACGTGCTAATACTCCCTCCAGCTATGGGTAAATAGCAGGATAAACTTGGAAAAGCACAACTCTAAATTCAAAACCTGCGGAGGGTCGTTTGGGGTCCTTGTGGCACGTAGTGCACCAGGTTTCTGTATTCGGCTCTTCAAAGATATGGTTGGTTCTACACAAAGCCTTCACCAATATAATCAAATCATATGTGCTGGTGTCGGGGCTGTCTAGGAACCGACTGCCCAGACACCATATATATATATATATATATATATATATATATATATATATATATATATATATATATATATATATATATATATATGTCAAAGTGTAGGAGAAGGAACAGTAGGGTTACAGCGTTCAAAACATTAATATAAAAATACTGCTCAATACATAAAGTAGAGCTGTAAATATTTATTTATTTTATGCAGTGTTACATAAAAGTGTACATTTTTGTTTCAACGTCAAAAAGGGGGAAAACCTTTTTATACGTCCCATCAGGTGGGGAATTACGCCGTTACTAAACTTAGTAAATCATATATATATATATATATATATATATATATATATATATATATATATATATATATAGAGAGAGAGAGAGAGAGAGAGAGAGAGGGAGAAAAGAGCTAAATCGAGGTAAATAGAGTAAATTGTATAATAAAAAAAGAACAATGGACAAAGTTTATTGGTGGGAAAAAACTTTAAATGGTAATTAGTTGGAGGCCTAATATAAAGTCCTTCTGTTTCCCAAAAAAAAGATAGTAAAAAAGTGTTGGAGGCCATCTATATTCTATCTTTAAAGCCTTCTCTTGTAAACATAAGAACTTAATATTAGGCCTCCAACTAATAACCATTTAGATTTTTTCCCCACCAATAAACTTCGTCCATTGTTCTTTTTTTATCATTATTACAATATTTACTCTATTTACCTCACTTTAACTCTGTTGAGAGAGGTACGAAACCAGTTAGCTAGCCTGTTTTTCATTTTTATTATCATGAGTAGTAATAATAAAACTAATTTTTGTCTTTTTCATGGCAGTGATAAAATTTTGTACCACCAAAATATATCTTTAAATATATATATATATATATATATATATATATATATATATATATATATATATATATATATATATATATATATATATATATATATATATATATATATATATATATATATATATATATATATATATATATATGCAACATACTTATTGCCGAATAATCAGGATATATTATCCCTACTTTTATTTTGATCCTCTCGAATTCTGTAATCGACTTCTTAATGCTGATATTAAATTCATTAAGGATGGCGCCGTAGATTTGTTTGTTTTTTTTTTTCATTTTATTTTTATCTTACCAAGTAATAAAAAAAATCTCATATGTACTAATATATTACCCACTGATCCCAGTAAAAAAAAAAATAAAACTAATTATATACTATAGCAAATTTAATACAACCAGCTCAATCGTCCGCAATAACTCTTCTTCGTCAACTAGTGTTTTGCAAAAGACCAACATTGTATATCATAATCAAAATTTCCTTTGGGAAAGTGTATCTATGACTAAAAATAAATACATATCTCGGCTTCACTACAACAACATTATCTAGACGGCTTACACTCCATATGTCGGAGACAAGCTCTATCGCACAGCATTTAAAGACACCTTCCTGTCCACCTTCACAACATAGACAATTACTTATTCCTAACACTATTATATTACATCATGAAAATAAAAAAAAATCTTCAAATTCTTGGGGCCCTCTGTATAAGGCGCAAACAACCAACACTAAATAACGTTGGTGATGAATATAGCAACAATGTTTTAAAATGTTTATAATAGGAATGTTTTTAAAAAATGTTTTTGTACAAAAGATTACAATCATACAGATTAAGTTACCTCCCTTAGATCAAAACGCTATATTGCTACAACAGTTAATTTTAAAAACAAATATAAGAGATCGCTTTTATGCGTATTTACAAAACAAAATTAGTACTATCAGTTACATAAATTTCTTTATCTTAACATTTCACCCCTGAAGATGATCTTGGATCATAATAATAATAATAATAATAAATTTTTGAATATGTATATATTCACGAAATAAATTATAACTGAATATAATATATATATATATATATATATATATATATATATATATATATATATATATATATTACAGACAAAAAGTTCATTTTTCTTCATCAAGACATTCATTTCTGTAGTTTACTGCTACCAGCAAGCAGAAATATTTCTTCTCCCGATGATGGTCATTTGGGCCGAAACTAGTCGAGGAATCTAAATGAAATAACAATAAAAAATAAAAAAAAAACGAAAGTATATTAATCTCCAACCCAGTGTCTGAAGATTTTAATTTTTAACATTTTTTTATTGTTCAATATATATATATATATATATATATATATATATATATATATATATATATAAACAAATAAAATAGAATGTTCGGGTTTATCTTTCTAGTCGGAGGTTTGCCGAACTGGTATCTATTTATTGGGGTTAGATAGTAAATTGAACATATACAGCTATATAATTCTTAAAAGGCATTACTTAAACATATTGTGAAAAACTTATCTTTATTATTTTAAAAGTTATTGTTTTCTTAAAGGTTTTCCTGTGCTTACAAGTTTTAATTCTTTCTCTTAAAACAAGCATATTAAATAAAATGAGAGGATGTGAACAGAAAGAAAGAAAAATTATATTCGTTAAAAATGACAATTCGGATAAAGAAGAAAAAAAGAAAATGAAAGGAGCAATAAATTAAAAACAGAGCCCCATAAAAGAATTGTACAACGCTTTTCCACCCCTTTTAGTCGTAATGTACAGCTGTTTTATTTCATCAGTTGTTCTCTGAAAAGAAAAAAAAAACAATTCAGCTTCTCCATTTTTTTTTTCTGTCTCATTGTTTTTTCCTTTTTCTTTCTGTCCCTTTTCTCATTTTATTGAATTAACTGTTTAACCTTTACAACACTGCAGGCGACAATTTTCACCGTAGAATTATCTCCCTTTGCTACGCTAAGCGCATTCTGTCGCTTTGAGAAGGCTGCTATAAATAAACACTTATCAACTGTTATTTCCGGTATTTTAAGCTGGAAATCCCCGACTACTTCATTGGAAGAAGATTAAACTTGCGTTTTCCAACGCCATTTTGAATTCTTATAGTCTCTACACGAGATGCAACATCAATTAAATCCACATTAATTTTTTCGCGATTTTTTGTAAACAAAAATGGCTGCGTGAATATCGAACAAAGCTTTTATTCGGGAGTTGTTTTTATTTGATTTTGACTCCGATGATGATTTTGAAGGCTTTACTCGAGTGGATATTGACGGTTAAGTGGGTCGAAGATGACTGAAGGTGAATTATTTCTGAAGGTGAATTATTTTGTGTACGACGAAATAATAATTTTATTCGTCAACGAGACAAAATGTAAGTCAGGTAAAAGAAAGAGCAAACAATTGCTAGTGTCTTCTCGTAAACACGAGGAAATACGACAATTTTTTGACGAAATGAAAACCTTCTCCATTGATTTTGCTTCTTTTTAGACCCCCAGAACTCCATAAGGAATAATAAAAGTTAAAGTATGTTGAATTAATTATGTATGTTTTAATGTATTTGTTTTTTTATTTTGCGTTTTTTATTTCGCGTTTCAATTTTTTTTTTATTTCAACGTCAAAACATGCAAAAAGTAATGCATTACATCAAAATATTACATTATTCGGACTATTGTCCTCATCTTTTTCGCCATATTTATCACAACGTTTCGGCCGTTGTACGCTCCGGCCTTCTTCAGGTGGTTGGAAATTCGAACTGAACCCTTTATTTCGCTCACTGGAGTAGACTGTTCTAGTTCCACGTGACATGTTTGATGGATGTCAGTTATCAGTTATCTCCTGCTAATTTCCCTCTGAAAGTTCTCCACTGCCTTAACCGGGTATTGAACTCACACTCTTTGGGTCCTGTGACTGGATCTAACCAACGCCTTTATCCACTGTGATATGTGTCCTTGAGGACATCTGTGTATGAATTTCTGTGTATTATAGACCTAATGTCTTCAGCAACCAGTAAATTCTGGTGCAAATTGCGGCTGTGCATTCGTTACACACACACACACACACATTCTGCCTTTTATAAATAGAGATACATTTGTCATATCGGTCAATTTCGGAACATTGCCACTATGGATAAGTGTAGGATAATTATTTTATCGAAAACTTTGGGAAGAAAACTGACTGAAGGGTTAAAATAAATAATATATTTTTCTTTACTTTCTTTAATGTGATGAGGGAGTCCTTTAGTATTCGGAGTAGGAAAAAACTTCGTTAAGGCGGATATTGATAACAGTCTGAAGAATGTCAGTTAGTAGTGTAAAAGACCATGGGAGAGGTAGTAGTAATGTCAGAAATTAAGTCAGATTTCAATCTGCTGTGTTTTCCGAACAGATCGGAAATGTAAGTAGCAGATTACCTCTTTACTCTTTCTTCACGCGTCACACATGGCTGCGTTCTTTTGTTCCGGTGTCGTTCTGGTCTCATCCTTTTTTTAATCCTCCAGATGTCGGGATTTTTGAATAGGCTCCAGAATTTGGGGCGAACTTCAAAAAGTCTCTTTGTGTTAATTTTTCTGATTGGCCAAATTATTTTAATTCCCGGAGTTCCTTTCTTTTTCATTTTTTTATAACGAAAGTTATGCGTGGAGCCTGACTTTTTTTGGCCGGTGGGGGGGGGTAGTTTTCAGTTACAGATAAGTCATCTCTGCTCCTGCAAATTTCCGGTGTTTTGGGCCGAGTTCAATTTTATTCTTCCTCTTGTTATTTGAGGGTTGCCTTTTCGTAGGTTGAGAGAAGTATAGAAAGAGAAGTTTAGAGAGAGAGAGAGAAATAGATAAATAGAGAGAGAGATAAGGTGTTGAAAAGGAAGGGCAAATGCGTTAATTTAATTTTAATTATTTTTGTTTATATATTTTATTTTTACATTTTATTTTTATCAGGTCTCACTACACAACTTAAAGTGGAAGAGTTATCCCCGGAGAACAGATTCAATCTCTCGTCTTATAAACGTAATTAATTAAGCATCAGTTATTGTAATACATGTAAAACCGTGTTACTACCAACCTAGGTAGATAGATCGAGGTCGAATGTGGATGTATTGCATTAAGTGATTTATTTAGAACTAGCTTAAAAGCTGTCCTATCTGGTGGCATTTAAGCTAGCTCCTGCGGAGGGATCTTGATTGGGCCTCAATCATCATAGGTAGGAAGAAGTAGATGCGATACAATAAACTACAGAAGAACTCAAAATTGATTCCTGTATTTAATTATTGCATTAATATTTAAGCTTACCTTTTAAAAGTTCGTCGATAATTTCCTCTGCTTCTGCTTAATTCAAAGACAACTTGATGTGTATGTCCTTACTTTCCGTACAAATAACTATTTTTATTTCATGAGTGACTTTCGCTGGATTTCGCAATAAATTTCGATTATTTTCAAATTTATTTCCAAGTTATAAAAATTGTTATCATACAAAAAAATTTGTCGCAAAAAATCAAGTAAAAAATCGCCGAAAATAATCGCAGTAATGAAAACTTGGTAATCCAAAATTTCAGGGTTGAGGGTACGGACCCAACCCGGAATGTTTTAATTCGCTCACAGAGTCGGCCTGATTCCACAATAGTATGATATGTTGGGCTACAGCCTCTAGTAGTAAAGTGGAATAGGTGTGACACAGTGGCATTTATTATATAGAAGGAGGAGATAAGCTGTTGAGAGTTGTCTCCCTTTACATGAAAAAGTGTGACACACTGACATACTGATATTGGCATTTATTATATAGATGTATAAACAAATTCCTTCTTTCGCCTTTATTTCAACGAACTTGTATAATCATTACTCCCCTCTCTCTCTCTCTCTCTCTCTCTCTCTCTCTCTCTCTCTCTCACTCACTCTCTAAACCCACTCGATGTGGTAGGAAAAATTTTATTTACGAACTCTTATGTAATATCAATCCATGTAGCAGTGAATACTGGACAATCTTCTCACAGATGAAGAAATGACTTGAGGCAACAGAAATCTAGTTCTACAGAAGGATGCTGAGAATACCATAAACCGAACATGTGGACAACGACGAAGTTTTTCAGAAAATTGAAACAAAAAAAGGAAACATAGAATCAGGAAGAGGCCATTGAAATTTTTAGGGAACATGATGAGAAAAGAGGACCTGGAAAAATTGATACTCACATGACGGAGGCAAAAGGGAAACAACGTATAACATACATAGTAAGCTTGAGTAAATGGATTACAAACTTTATTAAGAGATAGAAAAGAGAGGAAGTTGTGGGGAGTCATGATCGCCAACATCCTGAAGGAACACGGCACATCGAAGAAGACGTCGAACTGTTTTTCAATTGCTTTCACACTTACATTGTATTATTTAGAATTTGTGCTCGCAACTGCAGCTAGCAACTGCAGTATACAGCTATATATAATCGGTTCAGGCATGCTGATGTAATTATCAATCGCCATTGGTCGCAGCATATCAAAATCGATCTGTCTGTTGATGTTTACTCATCGATGCCACTGGGAAGATGTCTGCCCATTCTAGTTTATTTTTGTGGTTGCAGTAAATGAGGTTTGCTCTTCTGTGTGATTCAGGTTTTGTCTTCAATCCATTCACCTTTCTGGCTAGGCTGGATATGCCAGCGGATAAACTCTCGCATACATAGATCTCCGGGTCATAGGCGCAAGCAAGCTTCTCCAACACGACAAACTACTTACTTGATTGATTTTCGTGACCAAAGCGGTAAAAACGTTGTCCATGTACGACAAACTTCCAGAAACATGCGAATCAAACTTAATATTTATCGGAGGCTACTATTTTTTTAATTTCCTGCTTATGCTGTCTTTTTCATTTTTTTAATAATTTCACACCGAACAAGGCAATAAAGCCGCTAAGACTCAAAGAGGTTACTGATTGTGAAAGAATATGAGCAAAACAAACATTATTAAGGAGAAAGAACAATAAAAGAACTAGAATTAGGAAACTAGACGATGACCATTCACATTGCATTTAAATTTTAGAAAATAAAATTTGACGAGAAAGGAAGAAACTGGTAGAGATTTTCACAAAGTGTGAGAGAAGAAACTGTTAGCATAGAACTTACGGTTATATCTAGAAAGTTCAGCTGTAAAACAATGAGACCTAACTGTCAATCTAGTACTGCGTTTAAATTTATAAAGTCGAGGTACTGAAGAAGAAAGCTCATCAGAACAGTTACTATGAAAGTAGTTATAGAAACCTCACAAAACAGCTACGTTATATTGGTGGGAAAGTGACCGAAGGCGAGATGCCAAGTTAGGACCGATAATATTGCAGATTCTTCTTTGGATTTTTATCAAGAATTTATGAACAACATAGCACCAGACGAGGTGTGACAACATTTTAATTTGTCTATTTAACGCTCGTAGAATGTAAATCGACCTACAAGTTGCGATAAATCCGACAACGATTAGATGAATCAGGTGATCAAAAGTTTTCTGCTCAGCACTGGATGAACCGCAAAATATCTTTCTGAAACCCTTACTGTAATTATATGTGTAAGCTTATACATAAACACGTATTATAGCCATAATTTCCATCATAGATCTGTCTCTAGAAATTGTTCTCCCAAATTTAACCGTCGACTGTAAATAATGTTGGTGCAAGGTCGTGGTACTATTAGTACTATTAGTATCATCTTCCACGTCTCCACTAAATGCATCACTTATAACTTTCACATACAAACCAACATCTACCTGGGTGGGTAGTAAGACGGTTTCACGTGTATTACAACCGATGCTTAATTAATTCCACCGATAAAACAAGAGATTGAAACTAAGCTTTCTGAGAATAAGTCTTCCTCTACAGAGACGTAATACAGGCAGTTACGGTTATCGCTACGTGGCACACGCCGGGTAGGTTTTATCATCTGTCAGTTGCGCCTCTGTTTTCGGGCAGAGTGCGAATCAGTCCCGGCTCTGTCCGCGGTCATTAGACGCAGCTGCAGAAAATAAATCGTCCGAGGTGCCCGGTCCTGGGTAATAGCTTTCCCCTCATTGCACTAAAGAGGGGGATAGGTAGTCATACCGATGCCAGTGCAACCGATGTTTGTGAGGTCTGGGAATTTTTGTAATTGGTCCGGGTGTACGCGCTCGGGTTCCCCACGTTAAACCCGACCTTGTGTCATATCCCGTCTCAGTGGTGAGGCCAGGGCAAATATACTTACTGGCTTTTCTGATTTGACCCTCGCGTGCGAGAATCGAGGAAGGGTAGTTTGTTTGTTTTCTGAACACTTGGGTTGCTAACCGTCCCGAAAAATGGGACATTGTCTAGCATTTTGATCCTAAAGGACTTTGGTCACATTAACTGACTCTAATTAATGAGTTAATGTGGCATAAGTTTTTTGATTTGTATTTTGAGAATCAATAATTACTTTTTTATTTAATTATGCATAAATGTTGCTTTTTACTTTTACTAACGAACAGTTAGAATACGAGCAAGACGTCTGCCTGGACCCCTGTGTGTATGTGTGTGTGTGTGTATCTCTCTCTCTCTCTCTCTCTCTCTCTCTCTCTCTCTCTCTCTCTCTCTCTCTTTCACACACACACACACACACATACAATTCCTATAGGTGATTTAATTCAGTTTTGTGGGCCCATGACCCGTTTCTTGCGAAATTGTCTTTAAACAAGTTCACGTGCCACATGGTTTGAAGTTGTCCCTAGTTAGGACTCCATATACCGCATTTCGATTTATGGAGTTGGCAAAACTAGTCACCATCCTGCACTGTATGAATATTCGCGCACATACTGAGTCCACTCTCTAGGTTTTGGTGTCCTTGCTCGCTAACTCAGCAAATTGAGATGTCCAAAGTTACTGCCAGGCTGTAGATTTTTGTCAGTCTCGCCTTGAGATCAGCAGTTACGAAACATTTTTAGGCTGCTACCCATTGGCTCACAATCCATTACCCAAGCAACTACCAAACATACATACAACGAATGTTCTTTATATTCGGTCTAGTTCAAAGTTAAAACAATTAACTTGACACTATAAACAAACGTATCCATTTCACAAATAAAACCTTACATAGTAAACTAATTTATTTGGCAATATGAAAGGGTAATTTCAATCTTACATATAACTACATTGTCTTTACAGCTATAATGGGATGGGTGTGTTTAGTGTTGGGGTATCGGCTTCTCAATATCTAGCTGTAAGACACTAAAATGTTTTAAATCCCCAAGTATTTTAATTTTCAGGTTTTTATTTTTATTTATTTTTTAATTTTTTGGTTGACACTAGAAATCTTTGAATCTATGTGACTTTATTGAAACCTGGCTCTACCAAGTGTAATGTCGAGAAAGCAATAAAGTACATTTTTACTTTTCTCCACAGTTCAGAGATACTGTCAGAAATATTTACAGCCAAAAATAGGATTTTAATGGATCTTGGCCTTAACGTTTTCAAATGAAATCAAATTTTCTTCTACCGTCTTTTTTCTCGTTGCTTCGAGTGAATGGATTGAACACCCAGTATTTTAAGAAAAACATAAAATGCAGAAATCTGTTAAAAAGGTCTTAATGCAACTCATTTAGTATACACAGTTCATGACCTACGATGTAGTCCATTATAACTAGCCCTAAAAATACCAAACCTAGAATTGTCACAAAGTTTGGTAACGTTGGGAAGGAAATTTGATTTGCCTGAAGAGTAGAATCGAAGATGTGAGCAACGATGAATTTTTAGAAAAAATGGAAACAAAAAAAAGCTTATACTTCTTGTCTTTACCCTGGCCCAGGCTGGGGTGAGGGGTTCTATATTTACCAGACTTTTTGCTACCTTTGGAAATGGTATCATAAAAACTGGGAGAAAAAAATGATATAGAAACTCTATGGTAGACAATTGAATAACAAAATGAAAAATAAAAACTCTACATAAAGCTTTTCGTCCTTCAAAAGAACTTCATCGGACTAAAATAATAATCTTAATGATAGAACCATATATATATATATATATATATATATATATATGAAGAAATATAGTTTTAAGGTGTGCTATATTTGTGGGATAAAGTGCTCAATATCAGAGATAGTGCGTATGTAAATATAAATATAAAAGTGAACATTGAAATCAACACTCAGAGGCGACAGGCTGTTTCATGCTAGAAGCAATCATCAGGCCGTATATATATATATATATATATATAGAGAGAGAGAGAGAGAGAGAGATAGATAGTAATGGTGAGAGTAATAGTTAGCGGTGCGGATTGAGTCGGATCCATTGCATTCACTTACGTGGATAATAATACCCTTGGGAATGGTATGAATCCTCTTCTTCTTCCCCCACCCCCAGCTATGGGCAAATAGCAGGATAGACCGGGTTCTATAGACTTGGAGGGCAACTGGTCTACTGCAGAAAGAAATGGCAAGCTACTGCGGGAAAAATATGCCTCGTCAGTCGTGTATTGAAAGATGCATGATCGCCTAGCGTGTATCACGCATGGCACATAACTGACTATATATATATATATATATATATATATATCCATATATATATATATATAAATTTTTTTACAGTGCACATGAACTTTCCATGGACACAGTTGTGTGTATATATATATATAAATATTATTCGTAAATTTTTGCATCCTATACGGAACATACATGCACATGAACTTTATAGACATATATTTGCTTAAACATGGTATATATAAATTATATAAAATATATATATATATATATATATATATATATATATATATATATATATATATATATATATATATATATAAAACGTTAAAGTAAGTTGTTTATATTTATGATAATATAATTTGAATTTTTACAATATCGTATATAATAATTTATAATATATGAAATGTTGTTTATATTCTTGTATATACCTCTAATCGAGTCATT